AGAAATGCTTCCAATTTTTATGCCTTGCTCACCCTATTAACTGATACAGTTTGGGATTTCATCATGTTTCGCCTGGGCTATTGCTTTAGCCTCCTAACTGATATTCGCACCTCTAGTAATTATTATAGCAGCTATCATTTATTAGTGTTGCTATATAATCAATGCTTTGCTAAGAGTTATACACTATCTCATTCAATCTTCCCAATCTAATTGGGTATTCTTATTGCCAACATACAGCTATGAAAACTGAGGCACAGAGAAATTTAAATTACTTGCAAATGGTCACACGAGTAAGTGGCTTAAAGTCTATTTGACATTTTAAGTCTCTCTCCCATCTAACTATCTCCCCACACTGCTGCGAGAGGAAGCTTTCTAAAACACAAGTCTAATGATTTAATGATAGTCCAAACCCCCATCTTGGCATTAAGGTCTTCACAACATATCCACAATGTGACCTGTCAGCTCCAACACTACTACCCCTACCACACATAAGTTCACATGATGGCCTACCAAGTCCAGGCTATTGGGCAATTATAACATCTTCCTGAAGTGCCATCCTTCCTCTTATCTGCCTGGTAAACTCTCACCCAGCTCTCAAAACCCTGTTTATATTTTTTATTTTAAGTTCTGGGATACATGTGCAGAATGTGAAGGTTTGTGACATAGGTATACATGTGCCACAGTTCAAAACCCTGTTTAAATGTCAATTCCTAGATGAATTTTCATCAGTTCCCAAAGGCAAACCTGGTAGTTCCCTCCTCTGCAATCCTACAGCATTTTATTCAGTATCTTTGTCATAGAAAAAACAAAAAACATAAAGCACTAAAATGTATCACAAGTGTATCTGTCACATTGTTAATAAATAAATAAATAAATAAATAAATAAAAATAAAGTTCCTGAATGACAAGGTCACAATATACTAATCAGAATATCCTCTCAATGTACCTTGCCAGGTACCTGGCTCAGAGTTGGTACTCAATTAATGCTTATCGAATGAAATGTTCTTGCTGTCTCCATTTTTCTGAACAACATTCATGTTTCTTCCCAAAGCAATCTGGCCCTGCCTCAGTTACACTCTTAAAACTCCTGTCCTGAAAACTACCAATGCATATGGGAATTAGGGGTAGCAGTTGATATTTGCCTTGAAAAGGATAAAAGAAACACAGGATGTTTCACTATTAATTAGTTCAGGTTTAGTTATAAAAGCACATTTTGGGTTAGAATATGTTGCTTTGCATCTATTTTGTATTAGTCAACACCTGGCTGTGATAATATTTTAGTTCTTAAATATCGCTCATCTTTGTAACCCTCAGCAATAAAGCAGTTGAACCAATAATGATCATTTTCTCTGCTTCACTGGCTGGGTCTTAGGAGAAAATAAGCCAGTGAGCGGGAGGCCAGCCCCTCCGATGCAAGGGAAGATGTGCCAGCATGCTGCTTGTTCTGCTCTAATGGGCTAGAGTCAGGGTAGGGCTGAGCTGAAAACGGTTGCACATCTTTCCTGCCTAGGGGTAATCTTAGAACCATACTTGCCCCCCTCAACAACCACTGGACAGAAGCTAAGTCAGAGGGCCCACTTCCACAGCATCCACTCTAAGCCACAGCAAACGGGAAGGGAGAAGGCCTGATGTCCTGGAAAATCCCGCCTTGTGACCAGGGGCTGGAAATCTGGAGGACACATTTTCACTTCATTCAGTATGAAGGCTTAAAAACTTCCTAGTCTGGCTCATTGTGTTTACCGTGCTCACTGTGTTCATCTTAAGAGCTGTTTGCAGCAGCCAATAACTCTTAATTGCCAGCCTCTACTGCAAGACTGTGGCACCTGAAAGCTATACATCCCTTCCTTCTTCCAGCAAGTTCCAGACCTCCCCTTTCTCCTGGCTGCTCCTTTCTCTGGCCTCTCCTCTACCTCCTTAATGATTCCTCCTCCACCACCAGCCCCATAAATAGTATTCAGCAGGAAATCATTCTCTCCCGCATTAAGGTCATTGGCAATGTTGTCTTAAACAACATGGCTTCCAAATCTCTGGGCATTTCAGCTTGAATGGGGAATAGCCCATTGGCACTCCTCTTTGATTGTCCCCAATGACCTCAAAATGAGAGGGTCTCAAACTAAACATTTTCATCTTTCTCCCTCCTGCTAAAATCTATATTCTGCCTTACCTAATTCAACGCACTGCCGTTCTTTCATTAATTGGTCCCTTCCTCCCACTCTAAGCTAATCAATGAGCAAATCCTTGCTGACTCTACCTGTGGAGTAGCTCTGAAATCCATTCCTTCTCTCCACTGCTTTAGTCAGGGCTTTACCCTGTGACATGTTCTCCCTGCTTGAAGTCTCTTTATTTACACTTGTCTTATGGCCACTGATACTTGGTATCTAGACTGGCAATCTACCCATTTGTGATTTCTCCATACTAGACTATAACTTCCTTGGATAGAGAAACCTTGTCTCTCTCTTTTGTCCTATTATCCTTGTGACAATACTGTGCTTTACACACAGTAAGTGCTTAGTAAATAGACTTTGGCAATAGAGAACAGATTATCTTAAAGTGACTGCCCTTGTTCTTCCAAAGAGCAGATCATTAGATAATTAAATATTTACTCTAACTTATTCAGGCCCAATTAACAATGTTATATAAACACACAGACCACACACACAGATATACACACACACTGGATGCCCTTAGATACCTTTAAGTCAATCTTTTAGCAAACACAAAGAGAGGCTCAATCTCCCAAATAATTAAAACATAAATTGGGTTGTATTTTTGTTCCTGGTCTTCCTTGAGGAAAATGACACAATGCTTAGTAGCAAATGAGAAATTATTTTGCAAATCTATATCCTCAAAATGCCACCAAACATGGGTCATGCATCCTGCTTTCTTGCATTTTGATCCTATTGCTATGACTTAGTGTGGTAATTATATTACAAAGCTATTATTTGATGAAATGGAAATGGCAAAACAATTTAAATGCTTGTCTAGAAAGACTCTGTTAGAATGCAATTATGAGTGAAAACACAATGGCAAAATAATTGAAATGCAAGTCTGGAAGGCACGGTTATGAAAGCATTAAAATGCTCCTGTTGGGGACTCACAACACTGAGTGAAACTATACACTCCTGGGGACACATTTTTAATTCACTAAAGCAGGCAACATTTATGGGCAGATGAGAATATCTGTGCTCCAATTGTTCTGCAGCATTATCTACACTTCTAAATGCCACCCGGGGGTAGGTAACATCACCAGGGTTTCTGGGTTTGGAGGATGGTTTGATAAGAGAACCATATGTCATACTGTGCTTTCACACAGCACCAGGAAGATAAAGGCACAGGGCAAATTGGGCTTAGATTTTTCTGCAGTATTTCTAGTATAAACGGTAGGATCATAATATTAAAATATTTTTATTCTAAATTTAAGCTGGCAATTATTAAATATTTATGTGGGTATATTTCTAAGGGTCTATCTTCTTTACACATTCTGCTGATATATTTCTTTAGCAAAATCTCAATACATATTTTGATGTCTAGGCTTACAGTTGTATACACTTGCTCACCAAAAGAAAAAAAACAAAAATGCAATACAGTGCTAGATACAAAATCAATCTGCTGAGATGATCAATTTGATGAATGACCAAGGACCCTCCTCTGAAGCGTGGTGATGTCTGCATTTGATAGTGGAACACACAAATGAGTGTACCAGCAAAATACGCAAAATATGCTCCTGACTCCCACCCCTTCAACCTACACAATCTACTTTCATGGATCCATTTCTTTTAGCTAAGCATAAAGAAACGAATACTAGGAGTGGGTCATATAAAAGAAACAAGTGTTAAATGAATAAAAAGATGTATATCATTTTCTCATTCATGATTATCTCTCTTGTGTTGTCATAGAGCAAGTTAGGATATGGCATTTAATTTTAATCACTCAGAAAATTTCTCAGCATCAATGACAACAACATTACTTAATAAAGTTACTAGGTTTCCACAAAAAGAATTGTATACTTTTGTTTTTGAAGATTTAAAGAAGTCCCTTGGAAATGTAGATACAAAGTATTCTTACTTTCTTTCACAGACTCTGAAACACATAAAGATTTAATATGCACATAAACGTGTTTTCTGAGGCAGGATTTGCAAAAGCAGTTTGGAAATCCTCCTGATTTTATATACCAAGTGTTTGCTGTGGATCCTTAAACTGCTGGGAGGATATTTCACTGCATGCTTGCTTCTTGCCTACTTATTTTCCCTTGCACAAACTCAGAGAGTGTTTTGTAAAAATATAAACCTGAATGCATGGTAACTTCAAAACAAAAATCAAATCTGCTGTATAGATATTTTATAGAGAGGTTATATTATTAACACACACATTTAAATACTTATATGATTTAAAATAATATAAAGAAGTTTTTCTACGTTGGAGACAAAGTTACACACCTTGAAAAAGATTTAAAAATCACCTATAGAAAATTATACGAATAAGGCTAGTTGAAAATCTAAGCAAACATACACATAGATAATAGAAAAAATTAAAGTTATCAAGTTCCTAAAATAAACTACTGTATTACACATAAAATTTGACATTTGAAATCACATTTGTCAGAGTTTTACAGAACTAATCTCTGTATTTAGAAAAGTGTTAAATATAACAGCATTACTAACTTCTAAGAGAGTAGCTTTGGAATTTAATAAAGGAGAAATCAATGCAACTATGACAAAAATATAAGTTAAAACATGCTATAACTTACTTTGAAATGCATAAAAATAAATTGGGTTGATGGATGGATGATAAAGAAAATATAGTAAATGTTAACTCTAGAACCTAGGTGGTAGGTATACAATTATTTTGATTCTTTTGTATGCTTAAAATTTTTTGTAATAAAAAATTTGTTAGAAAAAAATGCAGTGCTCTAGATGAAAAGCATTTATTCTCTATGCTGATAACTGTGCTTAACAAATAAGCCAGTTTCAGAGTTGGTCTCACGGATACCACACACTCACCTAGCCATCCAGATCCTGAATTTGGGATGCAGAGGTCTGTCTCAGCACTGGGTAACACGAAGCCAACGACAAACACCTCTACACCATCTGCCATAAGAGCCATGCCCAGGACGAAGAAAAGGGCCCATTGAAAACGACCATGACCGCATTCTTGGATTATCAGCTCATACTGCTGAGCTAGCTCTTCCTCGTCAGCTCTTCTTTCTGATTCCAGCTCCTGCCGGTCCTTGTACTCATCGCCCTTGGGCTGCCCCACTGACACGATGCTGTCCTTTGCTTGGTTCATACTGGGGATGCCCTGATACTCCCCCTCATAGATCTCATCATCTTCATCATGGCCCTCAGTGGCTTCACTTGAGCCTTCATCATCGTTGGCCTCCCCATTATAGGTTTCTCCAGCCGGGTAGTAATCATCATCGTCTTCTTCATCTTGGAACCGACTGTAAGACCTCTGGGTGTATTCATCCTGGGCTCGGTCCACGGCTTGATTCACCTTCTTTACTGTCTGTTTCTTCACCTCTCTGGCAATGTCCTTGGCACCCTTCATCAGTGAAGTCCTATCCTTGTAAGAGTCTTCCATCTTTTCTCAACTGATGGCCAAAGAGAAGATGGGAATTTTTCACAGCCTCAGTGGTTCAGCTCTGATGGCATCATCCACTTTGGGTTCAAACCAGAACTGCGAAAGAAGAAACAGAGGAGATATTCATTATTCCTTTCCATATATTTTTCTTCCATCTATTTCTTGGCCTCTTTTCATTGCCCCACAAACTACAACACAAATTAGTTTTTCCTTTTTTTTTTTTTTTTGATCTCACTGTATACACATGTACACCCTATGCTGCTTCTCTGCTTAAGTGTGAACGTCACTTGGAGTATTTAGGGTTTTTGCTGCTATCATTATTGTTTTGTTTTAAGGAATTCTATCCCCAGGGTAACAGTACACAGGAATTCCCCTGAGAATAAAACAGAGCATTTTGCATCTTTAAAAGTACACCCAACACATTTTGAAATTGCTATAAGCATATACCTTGATTGAGAAAAACAGTATTGCTCACAGACACAAACAAATATTGCAAAGGCAAAACCAGAATATTAGAAGAATCCTACAGGGCCTATTTCCTCACATTGAAAAGCAAGCAGCCCCATATACAATTACTATCAAACTATAGCTATGTTTGTAAAATTGGATTTCCCCCCTTCTTAACATTGTATTTCCTTCCAACAAATTTTAACAGAGACTCACATGGCACCCCAAACAGACAAGGAGTATATTCCCCTAGAATAGTGTCATATCCATGGGATCGTCACAGTTCATCAAATGATTTTACAGATGCATTTGATATTGAATTAGAACATATGGTTTGTTCGGAGGGAGGAGTCTGCCCTTTCAGAAACTACCCCCAGGCCATCAGGGACAGGTAAGCTCCACGCCATGTACCTCCACAACCCCACTTCTATTTTCTTCATCTCTGGATACCCAGTACAAACACACACTCTCTCTCTCTCCCTCCCTCCCACCTCCTCCAACTGCCACTCTGGTTAGCTGCTGTTTTGGTAGTAAAGTCTGGACCTTCCATGACCTGTTATTTGGTTTTCTTTTTCACTGATAGCCCCCTCATGCCTTGGTTCCTTAAATTCAGGCTGACCTCTTGGTAACTTGTATTCCATTTGTCCACTCAGCTGCCTCTTCTGGTGGCTCATGTGAGTCATCGTCAGGTTCATCCTTGTACACAGATGATACGGAGGTTAAAAAAGTCTTTCTCCCCCATCATTAACTCCCCAAGCCTTAAGCTACGGCAGCATTCCAAACATTGATTTATATAATCACCATTTCTACTCTTTCATTTTGTACCTAGTTTAAAATATTTACAGTGGCTATTACTAACATACATTTAACTACTCATCCAAATGCCACAATCAAACCCAGCAATAAAGACAAACAGATGTTTGTTTATAAATGGACCTTGCTTCATTCCCACTGAATACCTACAAATGCCCAGTAGGCAAAACAGGAGTATGACTCTCACAGACTTGTGTTTTGGAAGATGATAAAATGAAATTAAAATAAACATATGATTGCAAGGTTTACAACCAAATGTTTTAGTAAACGATTTTTCTGTTTGTCTTCCCTTTTTTTAAAAAAAAAAAAAAACTGAGAGGAAAAGAAAGGCAGGAAAAGAGTGATGGGAGAATCCATGAGAACAGTAAGAAAAAATGGAAAGGTCGTAACAAAGGAGGCTGAGGATGGGGTGCTCAGAAACTCAAGAAGTCAGGGAAAAGGGGCAGGGAGGACAATGATGGAATTGAGAGACATTCCCTACTTTAAAAATTAACAGACAATCAGAATATTTCTCACTATAAATAAAATAAACTGCCAACCTATCCATCGAACGGATGATCACATCAGACACTGCACATCAGCTGCTTCCTGTGCACAATCAGCCCCAGAAACACCATTAAGTGAGCTCCAAAGACCGCTTCGTTGAAAGCAGAGTCTGAACAACCCTACGGCACCACCCCAGTGCCTTTCATAATGGAAAGCTTCTGCCATAGCTGTTTCTAAGAAATTGTACATCAACTGGCTGCGTATGGCTTTTTTGCTTTTGTCCTCAGCCACAGGTATCCTTACCACATGCTTTACAGGGCTTTCATCCCTAAAGAGGTCCTTGTATAGGAGCCACCTCTGTAAGAGGCAAGAGGTATGATATCTTCAATGTCATGGTTATGACTGGAAAAGTGGACAATTCTAACCCCCTAAGTAATCTAAGCACTTGAGCAATGAGAAATAAAATAAAATAAAAATTTTACAATTAAATATTCCAATTTTGAAAAAATTCTTACAGAAATCTTTGTTTTAATTCTGGGACAGAACAAAGCAATGTGCACATATAGGTTCTCTTTTTGTCTCTCAAGATTTCTCATCCCCCAAATCGAAGCTCAAGTAAGTTTCTTGAGGGAAGAGACTTGTTCTTTAGTTTGTAGTCTTACTAAAGCAAAGAAGATTTTTCTTTGCTCTTTCATAGACGGGAAATACGAACACTTATTCAAAAATGCTATATAAAATGAGATGTTTGCAGATATCGCCTTTGGGGTAAGCTGGTGAAGGGTATAGGGGTCTCTCTGAATTATTCCTTACAACTACATGTGAATCTACAATGATTTCAAAATACAGAGTTAAACCCAAACCCCAAGTTTGTACTATCTTTATAAAGCCATCTTGGAATATGTGCAGGACGATTGGCTGGGGGCAGATGATTCAGGGGCAGAGTTATAATTCTATGGCTATTATCTCCCTCTGGTAAATGGAAAAAAGGAAAAAGCTTGGCTCATTCCAGATATTGCCAGGAAAATGACAGATTAATATCTACATGGGAAGGTCATGCTTGAATTAAAGCAGCAATTCTCAAGGGTGGGGCTTACACACCAGGTGTGGCCTATAAGTAGGTCCACGAGCAGCTGTTTATAGTATCATCCATGTTTACTTTTATTTCTCGAATAAATTACGGAGTTTCACCACATAATATGTGTCGGACTTTGTTTCAATGAAAAACAAAACAAAGCACCTTGATTTGGTGCTTACTATGTGTGAGGCATTGTGCTAAAAACTTCCTGTACATCCTTTTATTCTTTTATTTAATCTTTACTTCAATCCTACAAAATAGATATTATAGTCCTCCATTTTACAGATGAAAAAATTAAGGCTTAGAGAGATTAAATAGCCTAAAGTCACAAAGCTTGTTAGAGGAGATGCTGGACTCAAGCTCAGATGTGTCTGACCCCAAAGCCTTACTTACCCCTTATGTTCATCTGCCTCACACAGTGGTCTCACTGAGGTCTTATTAAATGAGGTGGCCTTCTTCCTAGTCATTTCAGTATTTCAGTAACTTTTTTTCCTACACTAGAATGGTTTTATACCTGCTTCTCTAAATTGTCTTTTACATCCTGAAGTAAAGACAATTGCTGTGAGGCCTTTAATCAGTGATGAGCTTTATATGGGTAATAATTTTAAAATGTGGTCTTGTTTGTTCCAATAAACTACCCTAGGATGGTGGCTGTACTTCAAAAGATAATGTAACCCTGTTAAATAAGACATCAGTGGGCCAGGACAGCAGGAAAGTAGGCAAAGCAATGAAACTCTAACAGCCTCTGATTAAGTACATGATGCTTACTCAAGTCAGTTTCCTTCTCCACGAAATAAGGGTAATAATGACCACCTTCCAGTGTTGTGAGGATTAAATGAGTTGTTTACACCAGTTTTAGGACAGAATCTGACACATATTCAGTGGTTTCAATTCAGTTTCCCCAGGAACAGACCCAGCCATAAGGAGTCAGCTGCAAATCACTTATTATTAAAGAGTAAGGGAGTCAGGGAGCAGGGTGGGGAGAGGGCGATGGAAGCAGGGCTGCAATTTTAGGTATTGTACCATGGAGCAAGCTTCAGGAGGAACTCTGGAGTACAAATTATGCCTAGGAAGTTTTCCCCACTCAGGCAAAGGTGCTGAGTTTTCATAACCTCATGCCAACTATTGGCTGAGGGCTCCTGGGGGCAATGATGGAATGTAGGAGCTTCCTGTTCTCTGCACCAAAAGGCAAGGCAGTTCCAGTAGCCTGAGGGCAGTCCTCTGAAGAGCCACAGGTGCTGGCCAAGGAAAGCAAAGGCACACTGAAGCCAGGTGGGGAGAGCACAGGATGATAAAAGGGGTCCAGAGACCCAGGGCATTAACAGTATCTCCTGTAATGAGCCTTGATAAATATCTGTTTAGATCCCCTACTCATCATGCTAAGCTGCAGGATACATAGCCGATTAAAAACAGCCTTTATAGAAGTGGCTGTTAAACCAAACAATGTTCACAGCAAAGTGAATCTGATATAGTCAATGACATGCACGATCATTGTGCATGATATTTTGCACAAATACGTAAAATACAAAGAATATACACATAAGCATTACTCCGGTAAAACACAGTTTTTTTTTTTTTTTTGGCTTCTTTGATGGTTCATGACAAACACACATATTCAATACCACTATATACTATTTCAAAACTTTCCTACACAAGTTGCCACCCTACACAACCCCCCTACACAGGTGTTTCTCTTGGTGTTTCCCCACACCGCCCACACATGCAGTCTTTCCTTTGCTTTACTCCTCATCACCACCATCAGTCTAAAGATCTTGGATAGCTCCTCCTCCCCCAAATGTTCTAGAATCTTCTGGATGCTGGGAGAGTCCATTCTTCTAACAACCGTATTTATGCAGATTTAAAGCCATTGTGCGCTGATAGAGTAATGATAGCAATAATAATGGCTAATCTGTTATTATGTCAGCCATGTGCCACTCACTTCAGATGCATTATCACACAATAATGGTCACAAACATTGTATGGGGTAGGTACTTTTAAAATTCCTACTTCACAGATAAGAAAACTGAAACTTGCCCAGGAATAATGCGACCCTATGCAATACTACGCCAGAGCCCAACCACATACCCACTACATCTGCTTCATTTTCATGGAAATGGGAGCCTGTGATGGAAATAGGGATCTGAAACAGCATAGGTGTGTAGAAGGCAGCCCCCATGCCAGTAGACTCGGGCTCTTCTAAAGTACTTGCAGATACGTAGTGTGCTGGGATTGGGCAGAGGGGCTCATAACATCCCTCTTCCTCTCTTAAGCTTGG